GCATGCTCATGCCAGAACTGAGGCTTAAACTCAGGGCTTCATGCTCTTGCTTGGCTGTTTTGCTCAAGGTTGGTGCTCTACTACTTGAGCCACGGGCTCTATTTCCAGCTTTTTGCTGGTTAGTTGGAGAAAAGAGTCTCTCTTAGATCTATCTGCCTGGGACGGGCTTGAACTGGGATCCTCAGATCTCAGCCTCCTGACCAGCAAGGATTATAGGCATGAGCCACCAGTCCTAGGACCCTCTTATTTATTTATTTTTTGGGGATGAGATCTTGGGATTTAGCACAGACTGGGCTAGAACTTGAGAACCTTCTGCCTTAGGTCTCTCAGGCTCTCTATTGTTAGAACTACTGGCTATGAGCCTCCATAGTGGGCTTTGTTGATCAGTAGTAGTGGCTAGCTGTGAGCTATCAGGACAAAAATATAGGGCTCTTTCCTTGGGTTGTTCTTATTATTTTGTTTTTTGTTATTCCAGTGCTGGGGCTTGAACTCATGGCCTCACAATCATGCTTGGCTTTCTCCATTCAAGGCTGGAGCTCTATCACTTGAGATACAACATCTCTTTCAGACTTTTGGTGGTTGAATGGAGATAAGCATCTTTAGGATTTGTCTGCCTGGGCTGGCTTTGAACTACAAGCTTCAGATCTCAGCCTCCTGAGTAACGCGGATGACAGGTGTGAACCACCATGTCTAACTTGCAAACATATGGTATACATTGCTAGATGACTGAATGCACATCCACACACAGAGAACATATTCCTGTTCACATATTAACATAGATACAATACAGCACACACACACACATCTCTACCACTGATGTGATTACAAAGAACACGCACATCTCCAGGTGGCAGTGGCTCACGCCTGTCATCCTAGCTACTCAGGAGGCCAAGACCTGAGGATCCTAGTTCAAGGCCAGCCCAGGCAGGAAAATCTGTGAGATTCTTATCTTCAATGAACTACCAGGAAACCAGAAGTGGCGCGGTGGCTCAAGTGGTAGAGCACTTGCCTTGAGCTGAAGAGCTCGGGGACAGTGCCTAGGCCCAGAGTTCAAGTCCAACAACTGACAACACACACACACACACACACACACACACTTGTGTCTGGCACTACACAAGACCATTCAAGACATTTCTGCCTCCCCATTGTCTGATGTATTTTTCATTTGTTTCTCTCTTCTGAGCCAGAGAAAACCAGTTTAAGAAATTCCAAGGTCAGCAGGCATTGGTAGCACACTCCTATAATCCCAGCTACTCAGAAGGCTGAGCTCTGAAGTTCCCAATTTGAAGCCAGCCTGGGCAGAAAAATCCACCAGACTCTTCTCTTCAATTAACCAACTAAAAGCCAAAAGCGGAGCTATGGTTCAAATGGTAGCGTGCCAGCACTGAGTGCAAAAAAAAAAAAAAATGAAGCAGGGTCTGGGAAGGTGGCTCAGTGGTAGAGTGCTTGCCTTGAGCTGAGGGGCTGTATCCAGGCTCTGAGTTCAGGCCCCAAGACTGACCCCAAAAAAGCAAGAGCACTAGGTTCGGAGTTCAAGCCCCAGTATGGGTACACGAGCGCATGCGTGCACACATATTCCTAAGGCATTCTGCTTTGGAGTCAGGCTTGATACAATGTGGCTTTTGCCAAATCCCAGCAAACCTCACTAGAACAGGTAGCTTGGCTTCTGTCCCTCCCTTCCCTCCTTGGAAAACTGGGGCTACAAGAAGGCATCCTGGAGAATGGTTTCAAGGGGCAGGGCGGTGTCTTTGAGCACTTGGACAATGGCTGTTAGCTTGTGGCATGGGAGGAACTGGATGGGCTTTTACACTTGCACACAGTTGGGCTGGCCACGCATGGCAGCTTCTGCTGAGCTTCTTGGGCCTGTGCCAGGTATGCATCTCAAGTGACCCCCCTCCCTTGCAGATGAGAACATTGCCCTCTCTCAGTGGGGCCAGGTGGAGGGCTCCATGCCTGAGAAGGAGGAAGAGATCTCCCTCCAGGTCAGATGGTTTAAGCATCTAAAAATGAGAATCAGGTGCTGGATCACGGGTCGGTTCATGAACACGGGCAGGGGAGGGAAGGGAGAAAATGGTGGAACCGATCGGAAAAGGTGCAGGCCAAAGGCACTTGCATTTAAACAATTTAAAGTCATGCTGGGTGCCGGTGGCTCCGTTCTGTCATCCTAACTGCCCAGGAGGCTACGATCTGAGGCTAGCATTTTGAATTCAGCCTGGATAGGAAAGCCCGAGAGAGACTCTTATCTCTAATTAACGACCAAAAAACGCTGTAAGTAGGGCTATGGCTCCAGTGAAAAGAGCACCAGCTTTGAGTGGAAAAAAGCTAAAGGACAGTGTGGGGAGGTCCTTGAGTTCAAACCCCAGTTCTGGTGTACACACTCACACACACACACTCACACACACACACTCACACACACTTAAAGCCTGTGCTGGCAGATTAAATCGATTTCAAATTCAGCCCAAGGGCTATGCGTGTAACAATCCTGAGGATTGAGGTTACACTTACACACACACACACATACACCATACACTTCAGCCCAAGGTGACCCGGGGCACACCGGTCTCCTGCTGCCTTCAAAGCCTTCCTTCCCAGGCTTGGCATTCACTCCTCCGACGTTTTCGCCAAGGGCATAGGAGAAAGAAGAGCCAGATTCTTCCAGCTCGGCTCCTGGAGATGGAACCCCGGGTTTCCGCTTGGATCTGAGGTCGGATCGGGGGTAGGAAGTGGGCTGGGGGGTGCGGGGAGGGGGTGTGTGTGGAGAGGCTCTGCGGCAAAATGAAGCCTGGATCCCGCAGGAGTGGGACAGGCGGTGGGGTGGAGGGAGCGCTGCAGCAAAAGGAGGGGCGCTGCACCCAAAGGGCGGATGGGGGAGATGGGGGCGGAGTCCGGAGCTCCGGAGCCAATGAAAGCAGGGCTCTCCGCCCCTGGCAGGTGCAGCCCCGCCCCGGCGCCAATGAAAGCAGGGATCTCCGCCCCTGGAAGGTGCAGCTCCGCCCCCTCCCCAAGCCCCGCCCAGGCGCCAATGAAAGCAGGGATCTCCGCCCTGGCAGGTGCAGCCCCGCCCCCTCCCCAAGCCCCGCCCCAATGAAAGCAGGGATCTCCGCCCCTGGCAGGTGAAGCCCCGCCCCTCCCAAGCCCCGCCCCAATGAAAGCAGGGATCTCCGCCCTGGCAGGTGCAGCCCCGCCCCCTCCCCAAGCCCCGCCCCCTCCGGGTTCCCAGCAGAGCCCCGCAGGGTCGCCGCCCCGGCTCTTCTCCACGCCAGGCGATGTCGGGGAGGAGAGGGGATCGGGTGCCCTCTAGCGCCGAGCTGGAGCCCGCGACGCCGCATTCCCATGGCTGCTCTGTGAATCTCCCCCCCCACCTCCGGCCCCCCCCGTCCGCGCATGCGCAGTGGCCGCGGGGGGGGGCGCACCGCGCGCGCCTCGGCGGTCGTAGTGCTGATGAGGACGATGATGATGGTGGTGGTGGGGAAACACCAGCGCACCTGCACGCCGGGCCGCGCGCACCCCCAGAATCTCCACACACCCCAGCAGGTGGCGCCCGAGACCACGCTCCCCTCCCCCCTCCTCCCCTGTCACCCGCGCGCCCCGCACCTCCGAGCACGCGTGGGGCCCCCCCCCCGGGCCACAGCGAGCGGGGAAACCCCCCGATCCCAGGGGGGCGATCCGTGGCACCCCGCGCCCCTCCCCCTCCCGCCCCCCCAAAGTCCATCTGCGGCCCGGCCCTGCCCAGGCGGCGCAGGCTACAGACAGATTGGCTTTATTCTTGGACACGCGGGGTGGGGATGTGTGGAGGGGGTGTGTGGGGGGGCGTCCGGGCCCGCCCCACCCGGGACACGCTCACACGAGGGGGTGGGGACTCTCCATGCGACAATCACAACAGGCCCGC